TAATATTATATAGGTTACCAAAAACCACAGCTAAATTACACTATACCAATAGGTAGAATTGTTTGATTATTTTTTTTCATGATTGATTATTTCTTTGACCAATTAATCGTAAAAATCGATTAATCGAGAAACTGATTAATCGATTACTTGAAAAGGTAATTAATTTTGAATCGTTTTTGTATCGATTTTTGTATGTAAATAATTAATAATCACATCACAAGTACATAATTATAATCTATTTATTACATTCATTATGATTCCCTTATCTAAAATGTAACATTTCAGCGAATTTATGCAGTGTATGTACTGATAAAGAGGGTTATTAAAATGTCCATGTTTTTGTGTCTAAATATAGAAAGTGAATTTCTGATTAACAGATTCTCCGATTAATCGATTAACGAAATCGAATTTTGATTAATCGAAATAATCAAACAGCCCATAGGTATGACCATGATGGTATTTTAGACTTAATGAAATAATTAAATGTAATTAAAAATATTATGAACAAACAATATTTATAATTTATATTAACATGCGGCGCACACGTGAAAACACAATATACTGTTATCACTACTACTAAGCACTAAGCACTATCACCAGGCGGTCACACGGTGCAAGTGCAACCGCGAGTAGAGTAGAGTTGTGGAGGGGGAAGGTAGTTGTTAGTAAATTTCTATTCACTCGCACTCGCGGTTCTACCAATACTAAACACTATTCGTATCGATTTACACGTGTGCTTCTTTATGCGAGTGAAAAGTACTAATGATAAGTACTACAAATCGCGTAAACCAAGCATAAAGTTTAGTCTTGATTATAACGAAATTATGTCGAATACAACACTAAAACAAAAAAAAAGACAAGAAACTTCACATACGCAATATTTCTTTTTCTATTTTTAATTTCAACATTTCTGTCGTTTCGGAGAATTTTGATGTGCAAATTTTATAATTTATAGAGTTATAAAATTATAATATTATTATTATATACGTTTGAACAATTTCCTTTCCGGTCACTCCTGTAATATTTATAATAATTGTCAACGTACTTAAATTATTTTTAAATCCTATCCTTGTGTTAAAAAGGTGTAAAAATTAACCCAAATCGACAGTTTTCTATTCGAATGGAGAACAATAACAATAATTATATTTAGACAGTTTTTTTTTTTGGACTGGACGATATAATTTATACGAACTCTGAAAAAATTCATCTTAACCAAATAATTTTATTAAATGTATTTTTAGTTGGTATAGATATCTGTTGTTCAAATTATATGACTATTCAAATGCTTGAAAATTGAATACAAGAGACAAGTTATAAGATTGTTAATGAATGGGCTAAAAAACAAATTTGAATTTAATGCATTAGTTTTTTTTTTTTTTTCATAAGCGTTTAAGATTAAATTTTGATGAAAAACGTAAAAATTACGGCATTTCAAAATATGTCTTACCGAACTGCGCTCCGAATCATTTATCGTTAATAATGGTTTATCGCTACATATAGATATAAATTAAATAACTTTATGTACCTTACCTTTCCAACTTCTCAACTATGACAGTGGCTGTACCCGTCACCAGTATAATTTCATTTTTAAAATTATAATACATTTGAATAAACCTTTACCGGTTTTTCTTTTTTTTTTTAACCAATTTTTTTCTGATGGATAATCAAAAATTATAAAGTTGAAAACGTCCATTCTTGGAATTGGTTTACTCATATATTTTATCAAAGTCATAATCATATAATTATTTTAATAATTTACATAACTTTATAAAATTATGTATATATCCGTCAAGAATAGCATACCTATCATATCTGATTTCCATGAACTATAGAGTATAATTATAATGATGGAATGGTCTTAATGTTCTTTTAACATAATTAACACCAGAGTGTCTAGATTATCTAAAATAAATATAATATCGAAATCATTTTTTTTTTTTCTTATTTTTTAATACCTAGGTATAATAATTCTGTAATTTGAAATTCTGAACTGAGCGCTTCGCGGTTTTTAGCTGTTAGGTTGGTTATACCGATGATTTGTGTTTATTTAGTTTATTATTTTTCTGGGAAACACTTTTTGGCCTAAAAAAAAAAAAAATAAATAAATAATAATAATAAAACTACCGGGAAAAAAAAACAGTGAAAATAAATTTAAATAAGCATCAACCCTGCGAGTCGACCCCGCGATGGTTTATTATAATAATATGTACGGTCGTTTTCGATGTTAAATAAAAATAAAAATTATTCATTCCTGAATTTCCATGTACGTAATATAATATAATATAATATACTCGATAAAATATATTATTATGTTACATAATTTCGATATGTACGGTATGATTTATTTTTAACTCGTTCACGATTATGTGTTATTATTTATCGGATAAAATCAATACGTCCGATATATTAATCGGATATATTATTTGTCGATTCGAACTCGATAATATTTTTTTGCGAAAACTTTTCATTTTATTTATTAACCATCAGTATAACCAATGAAAAAATATCCGAGTGCCTTATATTTATTTATTTTTTCCTCCAAATGCACAACCACGCAGGGCTACAGATGTATTGAAAGAAAAGCACCTTCTTTGAACAGAAAACAAAATATATAAAAATAATAAGAACGTTCTTCGCTGACCAACCATAATATTGTATATTAGGTATATAGTTTTCTGTTAGACCGGACATTTTTTTTATTTGCGGTTTTTTTTGTTTTGCTTCATATAAAACAATACGAATTTCACAGTACTAAAGACAAAATAGAAAAGAAAAAATGAAATATTTTGAACCTCATGTCGCATTTCGTATAATAAAATATTCTTTCTGCTCATCAATAAAATCGTAATCGGTCAAAATATCTTCAACAAAATATCTATCTAGTACAAAATATCTCCTGTAAAAAATATCACTTTTCCTTCCCTCTAAAATACAGGTTTGTACTTAAGTAACATACTTACCGACGTTCTGTATTCAAGATTTATCATACCGTAACTGTGATCCGTATTAGACCATACTAATTATATTAAAATACAATTAAGTGAAATTGAATTTAAGAAAGTAGTATAACGTTTCAAAACATTTTATATTAAAATCGTCACATTAAATTATACAACAACAGTTTATTGCGATAAGAGAGGAAAATAGCGGTTTTTTGTGGAGTGTTAGCGTACCTAGTTATGCAGTGGTATTCCGATAACGAGCGGTAAAAAGTTACTTGGAAAATAAAATAAACAGTGTAATTTCTTTGCACGGTCAATAGGGCCACTTAGAGTTTTATTTTTAAGTATTTTTATGCGTTCGGCGCACTACGAGTACCAAATTGTTTAACCGCTTTTATTTTCACCATGTACCTAGCATACCTATAGCTTTTTTCCCCATCTAGTTGTCTTTTTTTTTTTTTGTAAATTCTATATAAAAAGAAAAAAACGGGTAATTTCTCCCCCCCCAAAAAAAAAAAAAAAAAAAAAAAAAATAATAATAATAATAATAACACCATAAAATTTAATCATTCGTGTCCCCTCGGTAAGTACCTTGGTATAGGACTCTGAGGACGCTGTTTTAGGAAAGTGGTGTATATAGTTAAAGGGTTTAGAAATTATAATATTAAAAATTAAAACAATTAGGTTTTATTATTGCACCCTGAAGACGATTTTTAGTGATATCAGTTTTTTTTTTTTTGTACATTATATTATTGTCATTTTTTTTATTAACTTTTGGAAAAATAAAACAAAAACAAAAAAATAACGATCCTCGAAATCTAATATTATTATATTAACATTCTGAAAATGGGTTTTCGATTGAAATAATAATATTATAATACGAGTTTCCCGTAATTTATGATATGTTCGCGTACCGATACCTAACCATTCATGCACGAAAACCTCTCATTCGCACTCTACCAAAAGTGTATTGTGTTAGAGGTAAAAATAAAAAAAAATATAGGTTGGTAATATTATTAATGCTAGGGTATAGGGTATATTAAGTTTCGTCAGTTTCAGGAGCGATAAATCGATAACCAGCTTAGGAAGTGCCAATAAATGACACCGAGTAAACTATTATCGCCAGTCAATTACGGAAATAATACAAACAGATTGCCTAAAATGACTGATGCGCACCGGTATTATACACTGACGTCCCTGGAATTATCGGAATTGCCGACATTGACGGTAACATAATACTACACCGTAATAATACTCGAAATAATAATTATTATTGTTGTACTCGTATTGCATAATACAGGTAGCGAATTTTTGTTTAATAACTTATAATGATCCGATAATTTATAATAACTTTTGGTGTACTTGGATATAAACGATTCGTGAGTTTTATTGCTTAATTGAGTTATTAAATGTATCATTAAAACTGTAGATATAGAAGTAGTAACATTTCATTACAGTTATATCACAAAATAAATAATAAATAATGTATAAAATAAATAATGATTCTACAATTATAGATAAAAAAAGGGGCTGATTGACGTGTCACTATTTTAGGAGGAAAGTGTGGAAGGAGGATATAAAGTGTAATTTAATTTATATCTGTACGCAACAGTGTAAACCACATTGTTAACAAAAAACAATTCTGAGCAGAGTCTTATTTGTTTTATTTTTTTCCTTGTTGCCAAAGTAACCCAGAAGTCAACAGACATTATAAAGACAAATTACAAATTTTTTTCATTTATTAAGAAAACTACAAAGAAAATCAAAAATGTTCCTCTCAAAACATAAATAAATTTATAAAATACGAACATTCGTACGTGGGCGAGCCACTATTGTAGGCGAGTAATTGGGAAGATAGAGGGGAAATTGAATGTTTATAAGTATTCAATAATTAACCATTGATAACGAAAAACAATCCTAAGCGGAGTTCGGTTAACAGTGTTGCTTTTTCAACAATTTATGTCATATAAATAATATATATAATATATGGTAAAATAATTGGTTATAAATTATACATTTTCTTTAATCATATTCGTTTAATAATGTACCTATTTTCCCGTTAGGCCCACCACTAGCCGGCTGGGGAGCCAAAATAGTGGGAGAGACGTAATCTCAGGTTGATCCACCGACATCAACTTAAAAACTAGTCGGTACTACGGGCGGGGGAGCCCCACTTCACGGATTTAGTAACCCCAAGATTGAGGAGCCTAACTCGGCTGAAACGTGGTGGCTGTGGTACTGGCACGAGATAGTAAAGCTAATCCACTGCACCTAGTGGGCGAATGAGAACCCATCCCAGTCTCGAGAAAGTTAAGGGCCCTAAAATCCCGGGGCTGGTATTCCATCCGAAGACCCTGGATCGGCGGCAGCTTGCCGATATTTACATATCATACATAAATACATCTTTACCCCTTTGACTTCATTTAGATAAGGACTCTATAGGAGTGTGTAGAGTTAGAAAACACCTTCCCCCCGCAACAATATGGTTAAGTTCAAATTCTAAAAATCATAAAAACATCAAATTTCCGAGTTTGAGCTCTTTTGGTCCAAAGAGAGCCGTTTAAAGTTTCCAAATGTACCGGGAAAATATATAATGTAAATTAAAATTAAAAGAATCTAAAATCGATTGGCATAGTAACCAGGACTACTAAAAGAGTTGTTTTTCCTCCGTGTAATCTTCTAGGGAATTAGAAAAAAAAATAAATTCAAATATATGTAAATTGAAATTTAAAAACCTGGCTCCAGACTTTCTCCACTTACATTCAAAAGTAACTCTTTTGGTCAGTCTGTGGTAAACCTAATGCATATACCTTGCTCAGAATCTAAAAAATAAGCCTACATATTTCAAAGCAGCCATTTATGTAAGCGGATATAAGATATAGAGTAATTATATATAAATAATGGAATGGACCCAGGTGTAGTAGTTTGACAGAAATTAATATTAATATTATACGCACAATAACTACAAACACATTTACATACAATTAAGAAGAATACACAAGTACAATAAAATAGTACACACAATTAAAGATGGGGGAGTTCTTATTACCAAAACTCATAAGTCTGATAAGTGGACTGTATCCTACATAGTAGGTTCTGAAATTAAGAACATAGAAATGAACAGTAATTCGTGTTGTTTGTGATGGAACTCAAAAATTATTCCCAGATAGTAACTGAAGGAAATTAATATTACCGTTAATTAGGTTCAGTAAAAAATGCAAATCAATTTGAACCCTACGATCAGAGAGCAGACTTAGATATAAGAATTTGGAAATAGGGGTATAGCATTTAACAATAAGAACAAATTTAACAAATTTTAAAAACTTGCACTGTATTCTTTCCAATTGACCAATATCATAAACGGTGTGGGGGTCTAATATTATTTCCCCGTACTCTAAAATAGAGATTAATAATGAACTAATAACTGTGGAATAACCGAACCAAAACTAAAACCAGATGACTCCAAAATATTTAATAGGGAGGATTGACCTACACGAACAAAGACCTTGGAGAAATTCGTGTAAATGACATCTACTTGAGAACGATTGTTAAAGGCCTTGTATATAATATAATCATTGAAAAGTTATCAAGATGATCTTGATCACCCGAATCCACATTGTTTGTCAATAAGAATAAAATTCACTTTAAATCGGATACCACTAAAAATAAAGGACTCGAACGATTTAGCAAGATGTAACATAATGGAGATAAGTCTATAATTATTTAATTGGGAAGTGGAATATTTTTTTTTTTTTTTTTGATTTTGTTTATTTACAATCTATACAATATTATAATACTATAATAAGTAAGTTTGATGCCTAAGTTTACAAAAATAACAATGTTACAATGTTAAAAATAGGAAAGCTCCCAGCAGTGTTACCTAACTGGTTTATTTATATTTAAGACATTATATGTTTAGTAGATCCTTGGGCCAGCGTCTTTTTAATCTTTATGAACCTATGTCCCTTTTTTTTTGACCTTAGAACAGGTGAATGGGGAATACAAAACAACGGATAGGTTCAATGCATATTTAAAAAGCCATGTATATCAAGAGAAGCTACAAAAAAAGTTACGATTACGAAAAAACAGAATTAAAGTATTCCATGTAAAAATGTTTGTTTTTTTTTTTCTTGAAATTTAGAGATACGAGGGCTAATCAAAAAGTATCAAGACTGGTAGTATCATTCGGGAAAGGAGCATCGAAGAGCAGTAGAATTGGTATCACTTGCTTCTATGACTTTTTCTGAGTACATTTGTTTTTATTGCTTCTCTATAAAATTCTTCGGTTTGATTTTACTGATATTTTTGTAAAAATATATTTTTCGAGTTTGGCGATTTTTTAATAAACCCAAAAGAAGAGTAACTTGACAGATTTGTAGATTTTAGAAAATTTGTGTGCATTTTTTTCCAGTTTCAGAGGGATGCAACATTTCATGGTTTTTGCCATAAAATGTCAATTAAAAAACTGAAAATGTGCCCTCGAGTGGCAGCAAGTTCCGCTTCCTTTGGATTCATTATGAAATCGCCAAATGTAAAAAACAAATTTTAGAAAAATATCGTCAAATCAAAACGAAGAAGTTTATAGAAATTTTATACGAATAGATGTGCTCAGTATAAGTCANATGGTTTTTGCCATTAAATGTCAATTGAAAAACTGAAAATGTGCCCTCGAGTGGCAGCAAGTTCCGCTTCTTTTGGATTCATTGCGAAATCGCCAAACGTAAAAAACAAATTTTAGAAAAATGTCGTCAAATCAAAACGAAGAAGTTTATAGAAATTTTATACGAATAGATGTGCTCAGTATAAGTCATAGAAGCTAGGTTTACAAATCGTTTTGCTCTTCAACGCTCGGTTTCCGAGTAATATTATCAGTCTCGATACTTTTTGATTAGCCCTCGTATATAATTATGATATAGTTTTTAAACGTAGGTGGTATATATTAACTATTAGATACCTAAAAGAATATTTATTAAAATTAATGTCATGAAAACCTGACAAGTTTGAACTTATAATGAGGAAAACATATCGAAAATGTTCAACAAATAAAAATTTCAATAGCGGATTTATCGTTACACGTCGGTAATTCAAACGCTGTGTACTACGCTGGCTTACGTAATATACAGTACAATCTAAAAAATGTAAGTACGTACGCTACAAATTCGCAACACTATTTATTATCACAATATTACGATTTACCGCATTTGAACGGCGCAAAACCGCGTAAAAAATATAATATTATATGTTAACGCGGTAAAATATGATAGGTTATCTGTATATATATATATATAAAGATGAATTGGAAGATAGATATAAAAGACGCAAAAGGAGTGCAAATCCATCACGGTAAAAGGAAAATATTGAAATCGCATAATGCCTCGGTCGCGACCTTTATATACCTTTTATATAGGTATATATAGAACGGCTGAATTTTCCGCGTGCGTAGCGTATCATATCGCCATCGTCGCGATAAGATATTATTATTATGATAACTGTATACAATATTTTCGGTTTTCGCATTTTACGTGATGGCGGTGTTTGTCGGAGAACATATTATTATAATATTTTGATACCTCTCCTTTATAGTATCATAATCGTCTTATCGGTACCTATCCCTACAACCTACTCACCTAACCATCGTTTATATTTTATTTGTGAACTGCAGCGGTCGTCTCTTAACGGCCGTTTTGCGGTTTATCCACGATAGTAATATGGGTAGTAATAATTTTATTCCAAACATCTACCGCCGAGTCATCGATATTTTAGATGTTTAGACGATATTTCTATATTATAATATACCTCTCTGTCCATGCATAGATTATCCGCTTTCTTAGTTCAAAACGATTCGTATTATAATATCTTTACAATAACCGTTTCGAGTTGGTTGTATTGTGTTTTCGAAAAAAAAACAAATATAATAAATGTATAATATATAATTATTATTATGATCTTGTGAAGAACCAATCACGTGGCCCTGTAAACCACGTAAGCGCATAATAATGTTTCGGAAAATTTTAAGTTGCGGTGACTAAGTTAATATTACAGGAATGCATAGCTAGGTGACGTATAGTGTATGTTTACCCAGGTTATAAAATAATATAATACGAAAGTTAATGTACGTAATTCGCGGTTAAAAGAAGTAAACCGCAACTCATACACGAAAACCTGTATGCACCTTCACCGTCAAATAATAATAAATTATGGTAGCTATAGTGTACCGAATGCTATAGGTACGTATATTTTTATTATAAACTTAAAATCATCAATAAAGTCATTCGGTAACTATATGTGTTCCGATAAATCGTTTATTATTTTAATGCTGGCGTTTAAATGCCCTAAAAAATGGAAAAAATAGAAGATCAAAAGTCGAACATACTTCACATGGTGGGTGAGGTACTGTTGACGTTAAGAAGTTTGGAATGTAGAATATATAGACGGGGATTATGTGCATACCTATACATAACGATTAATCATTGCTAACAAAAAACGGTTCTGAGCAGAGTTCGGTCATACATGTTTTAAAAGGCCGTAATATTAACAATTTCCGTTAAAATTGTATATTACAATTATTATGAAAAAAAGAATACTACATTAAATTCAACTATATCTTGATGATCACTATAAATACAACTTATAATTATCTCCTGTTGAATTTTCAAACATTTCTGTTTGGTCTAATAATTTTATCTAAGGTGAACCTACCGAATAAAAATGACATAAAAACTTACAGAATTAAATTTTTATAAATAACTTAAAAATGTTTCAAATCTTTTGAAAATTGTGTTACCTTTAAAAAAGGAAAATATTTAGGTTTTTTTAATTTTAAGTCTACGAACCTTTTTAAATGAATTACAACAAAAAAACGAAATTAAAACAATGAAAGCATTATTTTCGTAAATGTTTCTATTTTTCCTAAGTTTCTCCCAATCGTTATGAAAACCGTTCAAAGTACTAATTTATTTTCAGATAAGGTATCTGGTAAACATTTTGTACACAATATAAAAAAAAGACATCATTTTAAAACCAACACATTCCTTTAATGGCGGATATAGGACTTGTTTTGGATGGGGGGGCCCAAAATTGTCCTCTAAAAATGAAAAACCCCCGAAAACTCATGTGATTTAAGTATGATATTTTAAGTATTAAGTATCAGTCACATGGTACGAATCGAATTACATGCTCGGAATGTATTATATTTGTGCTAGTTGCAAAACAATAATAATAAAATGGCACTTTGTAAATGAAATCCACTCCTTTTTAATATTATATTAATTTAAAAAGCAATTCAACTTTCATTTAAAATATTGAAGGTAACAATATTAT